TCAAAAACAAAAGAACAAAAATTCATAAAAATCACTTCCCAAATCTATAAAAAAAAAAAAAAAATTCAAACTCATCCATCTCTTTCTTCGACGTTGATGTTGATGTCGAAATCGAACGCATGAATCCTCTAAATCTTGGAATCCAAGGATTAGGGCGACTGGGTTCCACGAGGAACCTAGAATTTCTTGTGGAACCCATATCTGAGTTCCACGAGGAACCCAGGAGGATGATGTTCTGGGTTCCTCGTGGAACCTAGCAACTGGGTTCCGCAAGGAACCCAGAAGGATGATGAAGATATGGTAAAGACGATGATGAGGGTGAGGAGAAACAAGAAGATGAGCAAAAAAAAATTTTTTTTTTTTCAAACAGGCAAGAAGATGAGAAAATTAAAAATTAAAGTTAATATATTTTAATTTATTAGTTCTAGTTTTTTTTTTGGAGTTATTCATCAAAAAATTATGCCACGTCATTAAAAAAAGTTTACATTGGATTAAAAAGTATCAACATTGGATTAAAAAGTATCCACATTGGATTATTAATGGTATATAGTGTCACGTTAGTTTTTGGGTGTCACGTAGTGTATTTTATAATGGTACCGTGACAGCACGTTAAAATATTGAGTTTTTTTTATGGATTTTGAATAGTTGAAGGTGTGAATAAAAAGGAAAAATTTTGGAAGATATTGATCGTGAAAAACAATTAAATGAAAAGTGCAAATAACCCCTTTGGCCTTTAATATTTAGTGAAAACTTTGAATACTTGTAAAAACCTAGTATTTCAATGAATATGAGAACGAAAAACATTTTTTACCTCTATAAAAATTCTCATAAGATTATTTATACTCATCATTAATAAAGATAGAAATGAAAAGGGATCCTTATCTGTGGGATCCGTTACCATCCCTAACCACAATAACTTTTCAAAAAAAAAATAATAATAATTGGATGAGTGAGATTCCCAATATCAAGCCTACCTCTCATACAAATAATTCTATTAATTCCTGTTATGCATTCCCGACCGGCCAACAATTTTGCTTTCTTTCTTTCCCTTTTTTATGTTTTGTTTTGTTGTGTGTGTGTGTGTGTGTGTGTGTGTGTGTTTGTTGGGATGGGGAAAATGTAAGGGCAATTTGGGTGGAGAAAAAAAATGACGATGAATAAATTGGCGTCCACCGACGGGCGTAGAAGATGCCGGAGTAGATTCGACGCGTCAGCGTTAGACT